TTGCTTTGTAATTCAGAGGTTTTTCTCTTTGTAAGTTAATATTTGACTTTTGCTGCCAGATTAATAGCAAGTTAGTCAGGATTTAGAGGACTACTTTTTAATGTATAAGTGATATACTGAATTTTAGAAATAGTTTTATTGTTTTGGGACAAATTAGACATGCTAAGTATTTAAAAATCTCCATAACACCAGCTCATAAGGATAAGAAAGTAAAGATAAGCCTATAACTCACTCAATGTTAACATTTTTGTTAAATTGTATTTTACTTTGTGAAACGGGGGTATGTATATACACATTTAATTTTCTATAAATTGGTCCTTATTATGCATGTTGGTTTTTTATTCAACAGCATATTTATTGATATAAAATTATGGCCATAATATATTTTTGGAAGTAGCAGAGCAAACTTGAAGGAGATTGACATTAAAAAATTTTGGCACTTTTTGTCAAATTACCATTCAGGGAAATTGTACCTAATTTATAATCTCATCAATGGTACATTAATGTGTTTATTTTTCAGATGTTCACCAACACTAATTTTTGACCAGTTTAAAAATATTTTGTCAATATTGTAGGTGAAAATATTTTATTTACATTTCTTTGATTATTAGGGAGAGTGTACATATTTTAATTATTGGACATTTGTATTTTATTTATACATTTCATCTTTATATTTTTGTGCATTTTTATATTAAAGTGTTTTTAGCAATGCACTTTTTATTTAGTAAACTAAGGATGTGCAAAAGTTTGATGATCAAATAGTCAGAAGCATGTCGTCACTATGGTCACGTGTTATAGTCTATAGCCCAGGTTGGATTACTGATTGAAAAATTCTTGAGGGGAAAGGACATGGTTACTTAATTGTTTTTAAAATTTTAAATTAAGTTATAATTGATGTATAAAAATGTATTAATTTTAGGCATACAAAATTATTTTATTATTTTTTAAAATATAGTTTTTATTTTCGCTAGTATTACAGATATCTCCCCCCACTCCTTACCTCCCTCCTCCCTTCTCCTCCCTATCCCCAGTTCTTTACTATCCTATTGTCCGTGTTCATGGGCTATGCATATCTATCTATAATAATTAAAGTATAATATGCTAATTAGACTGGATGTCCTTCTGGACATCCTTCTGTTCTTCCAAAGGAAGCCAGGGCTTCGAGGGAAGCCTAGGTCCCAGGTGTCTGCTGGACGCCGGAGGGAAGCCTGGGTCCCAGGTGCTAGCAGGCATGTGGGGGAAGGAAGGCCTACTCTAGCATGAATTTCAGGCATATATGTGTGTATATACAGTATATATGTGTGTGTACACACACACACACACACACACACACACACACACACATATGGCTAAGCAACTGTACAACCAGCTGGCCAGCCTACTGGCTGGTTTGTATGATGTGCACTGATCACCAAGGGTCAGATGCTCAACACAGGAGCTGCTGAGCTCTGGTGACTTGGCAGCCATGGTTCTTGGGTGACACACACCGGAAACAGAGGAGGGAGCCCGATTCCGCGAGGGGCCATGCGATTCTGCCTGCAGCAGTGGGTTATGTAATTGCTGGGGCACTGTTGGCTCTGAATCTGGTTTACTGCTGAGCTGCAGTAACTGCAGATGCCCTTCGAGCCATGGTGTCGCCCCAGATGCAGTGGTGAGGAGGGACCATAGGAGGTTGGCTCAAGGATGTGTCTGGCTCAACTCACCCATCCTGCCCCACCAGCCACCTTCTAATTAATTTCCCTTCAATGTACATGAATCCGTGCACAGGGTCACTAGTAAGTATATAAATTCTTTGGTTTATCTCTTCCTGTCCATCCAACCCCACATTGAGGTATGTCAGTCTGTCCCTTTCCTCCCTTCTTTGGGTCTTATTTTGTTGGTCAATTCATTTGTTCATTAGATTCCACAAAGAAGTGAGACCATGTGATATTTGTCTTACTCAGATTGGCTTATTTTACTTAGCATAATATTTTTCAGTATTCATTTGCCCGGCTGGCATGGCTCAGAGATTGAGTGCCAACCTGTGAGCCAGGAGGTCATGGTTTTATTTCTGATCAGGGTACATGCCTGGGTTGTGGGCTCGATTCCCAGGAGGCAGCTGATCAGTGATTCTCATCATTGATATTTCTAGAAAGGAGAGATCCTTTACCTTTTGGGACAGCATGGATTTTATTAATTTTAAGAAACATTTTATTTTCTTATTGTTCAGTGCAATCTCTAACTACTTGCTGAATGAAGAATGAGCAAACAGAGGAATGGAATAATCTATGATCATTGGGTGTTCTGAGGATTCATTTTACTAAACAGATTGTGATTTTCTAAAACAGACGGTGATTTGTTTTGGCATTTTTTTCTGTCTTCTTACTTTTGTGCTGCCCTCAGGACCAAAGTGGCTATTTTTATTTTAGAAATGTCTTCTTCAGCCTAAACTCTTTTAGTTCTCTAAGAAGTAGCTTGCTTCGCTGAAACCGGTTTGGCTCAGTGGTAGAGCGTCAGTCTGCGGACTGAAAGGTCCCAGGTTCGATTCCGGTCAAGGGCATGTACCCGGGTTGCGGGCACATCCCCAGTAGGGTGTGTGCAAGAGGCAGCTGATTCTCTCTCATCGATGTTTCTAACTCTCTATTCCTCTCTCTTCCTCTCTGTAAAAAAAAAAAAAAAAAAAAAAAAAATCAATAAAATATATTAAAAAAAAAAAAAGAAGTAGCTTGCTTCAAGTTGTGTGTTAATTCCTGTGAATTGATTCTTAACTCTTTGGCCATCATAATAGGTTGCTTGTTTATTTCTAAATTCTCTGCAGGAGTAAGTATGTACTAAATTCTTTTTCTCTTTGTTATAATAATGAACTCTGTGATTTTTAGAAACAAACTTTTTAAATGGTTTGCTACAAAATTCACCAATAGTGTATATCATTTGGTAATGAAATATAGAGTTGTTTCTAACATATGTACCAAGACAGTGTTGATATGACAAATGAGGTTTGTTGACTTCATATTAATGCATATTAAAATATTATTTGCCCTGAATGTCTGGAATTTAACTTGTTTCAAACTTAAAATATTTCCAGAGTTAGTGATCTTAACTTAAAGAGTACAAGTATTGGAAAAAAGAGCTATACTGAGCCACAATATTTCTAGATGCATTTTATTTTATCCCCCAACATTTAAATGCAAAGGAAAGAATGAGATGTATTGTGTATGTTGCACAATTTCAATTCATGCTTTAAAAATATTTGCTAGAAGGACAGGGTGTGATTATTTAAAAAAAAAATGTAGTAGTACTTAAAAATCATTTTGGATTCTTTCAGGCTTTAGGCTTTAGATATAAATTTTGATATAGATTTATTTTGTGCATAACTTCAAAGCTATAATTTATAATTCATGGTAGGATAAAGTATGAAAAAAACAGTAAAGTAACAAAACCAGTATTCTTTGCTGACTTTGAATGGTACATAGTGTGTGTCCACACAGGGTTGTATGATGTCCCACATAAAATTGCTGTCCTGGTTCCTAAGACACCAGAAAGTCATAAGGACAAAGGTATAATACAAAAAATAAATGAGAGAGCTACCTTCCCTTGTCCAGACTCTCCTGGACTTCTTGCATCAATGGAAGTAGACATTATGAGTTGCTGCAAACTGGATTGGGAAAGGCCCAGGAACCATTCCCTAAAAAGAGAAGGAGGTCTGGGTGAAGAAACCTAATGTGTATAATAACCATTGATACTTAAAACTGTCCAAACACCCAGGACAGATTCATTATCTGTTAATCCTGACTTGAAAATACAATAAATTATCTGCATCACTTATGCAAAAGCATGTTGTAGGAGCTGGGGAAAGGCTGAGTTAGATATTTATTTTGTGTCTCAACTTAATTCAGGTGTCGATACCCAATTTATCATGGCCATTTGTGCTATATGTGCAACATTGGGAGCAGTGATTCCTACAAATGATGTTGATAAATCTCCTTCTTCTTCTTCTTCTTCTTCTTCTTCTTCTTCTTCTTCTTCTTCTTCTTCTTTTTCATAATCAATTAAAAAAATCTATTTAGCTAAGTAAGTTAACTAACATAGATGTTTACTGGCTATATATATATATATATATATATATATATATATATATAAAAGGGTTTTGAACCAAACCAATCTCTAGAGTCTAGAAAAGTTTCTGACCTAAATTAGGAACCTAAGCTCCATTATTATTTTCGGTTGAACCCTACTTATAGCCATCCTCACATTTGGGAAAAAATACGGCCTTTGCAACAAAGTTTCTTTGTTTTCATGTACTAAAAATGTGCTGTAGTTAGACCAAACAATAAAAATAAACAACCAAACTACCTTATAATGCATGGGGGTTCTGGAGAGAGGAAACCATAGATATTTAGAGGCATAAAGTGACTCATTGTGCTAGTTAAACTTTTTACAAGGCTAGCTCTGTGTGTTTGAGTTGCATCTGTTACCTCTTTTGCTAGAACTAAAGTGTGTGCAAGTAAAAGAATTTTGAATTGAATCATGGCTCATACAGAAAGCATTGTGTATAACCTAAGAGTCTAAATGGGTTCCAGACTTTATGTAGAACAAAAACGGCATCCTTTCATGTTTGTTCTACCTATAAGGTATTCTCGTTGAACACATCCAAGATATTTTCTGTGAAGCTAATTCATTTTAACTTGCAGACATAAATGAAACATGTTTTCCAAATGTAACTTGTAAGCCTTTATATCTTTTTATAAAAAAATTTTCTTTTGTATTTACTTACACTTTTAAACACAAAGTTTATTAATAACATCATATAAAAGGCTATCATGGGTGGAGATTTTGCATTCTTAGCAGTAGAATAATGAAATAATTGTCTCTTTTGTTATTGTCATCTTAGAAAGAGTTGTTAGAGGAGATGGGACTTAAAAGTAGTATGATTTGTAGTCAAATGCATACTTCTTTAATAAAGCATAGAAAGGTGACTTATCTAATCTTTTTTTAATTTCATTTTCTCTCTATATTTTCAGGTCACTTTCATGAATTCAAAGGCAATTTACCAGTGATTTTGGGTGCTGGGGCTGATTTTCTTGGTGTATTTGTAAGTATTGGTTTATTTATTACTCTTCTCATTGTGTCATGGAAATTATAGTTTGTAAACAAGTTCTTAATTCCTCTAGTGTGAGAATTTTTATTAGTTTTTTTCTTTGGTAAATGTTTTTTAAGTGTTATTAATTTTTTTTGTGTGTTTTCTTAAGAGGATTTTAGAGAGAAAAAAATACTAGGGCCCATTATAATACACTGAAAGAATAGACATCTTACTTTTTCAGATGAGGCTCAACTGTAGGAGTGATCTACCTTAAAGGGGCTCGTCTGTATACACATGGATAGTTTACCCTGGTCAATTCTTAGTCTTCTGATTATCTGGACTTGAAAATTGCTGTGTGCTTGTGCTCACTGAAAAGAGGTGAGATGATATCGAATTCAAAGAGCTGTCAGTATAGGAGAAGATCAAGTGCTAAGGAACCAGACTCATTTAGTGAATGTATAATGTCTATCAAATTGGGGGCCTTTCTTGCTTTCTTCACTATCTCTCAAAACAACATTATATTTTAAACGATATTTTGGAGAACAAAGATACTTTTTTCTCAGGAAAGAAGGTAAACTTCAAGAAAAAATTTGAATAAACCTTAATGATCATTGAAAGTACTTTAAATTAATATATACTTATTAATATAGAAGCACTTTAGAGTATGTGGCTGGTATTAAAGATGTCTGTTAAAAAACAGACTATTTAAGTAGAGTCTAAAATACATTTATATGTGTAGTATGTTGTAATCCACTGGCATCTCAAGGGTTGCTTTACATTCGATAACAACAAAGATGTAGGAATTTTTCCTCCCTTAGTGTTCTCTGGACAAGAACTTTAGAGAATATACTTCTAGGAAAGTATTTTAAAAAAAGGTAACATTACAAATTAGAGTTTAAGTTATTCAGTAGTTAAGCAGAAAGCAACAAAAATTTATTTAAAACTGCTTAATGGCTGGAGATGAAAGATAGAGGTTGAGTAAGTGGATGATGCAAGGACAGGCTCCCAGGACCAAACTGAATTACAACTAAAAAAACCCCACCTTTACCTTTCTCTTAGTGGTACCATAGATTGAGACTGGCATTTAGAATGAACCTTAGAAAGTAGACACAAATGTTTAGTATAGTTTAATGCATTTTGTATGTTTTCAATGTTTTAAGGATAATATGTAATTTTTATGAAACTATCAATTCACATTTTATTTTGAAACTATTCTTAGGTAGAACACAAAATATTAAGCTACATGTTTCATTTGCATTAAAAATAAGCTTTAATTTGTGCAAGGTATCATAGTGAGGATTAGGAGCAAAGAAGGTGGGGAAAGAAATGTAAACTATTTTCAAGGGGCTCTGGAGAAAAAAGGATGATTCTAAGGGGCTGAGCTGATCTTACTAGAAATTTGAATGAAAGGGAATAATTTCCAGTTGTTCTAATCTTATCTTAGTTGCTTTATCTTTTCTTTTACCTCCTTTCACTCTTCTGTCATATTATTCAGCCATTTCCTTTTGTAAGTTTTTAAGATGATTAAAATTTAAAAAAATGGCACCTACAAGATAATTACTGGCATTTCCACTAAGATAGCCTTTATTGAAATATTCTCTACTGTTTTCATCACCTGAAGGCTCTCTGTTTCCTGAATTCTTTACTCCACCATCTCCATCATACATAGACTAACTTTAATGGAGGTGATCCAAATAGTTGAGATTTTTCTTGTGATTTAACAGAAAGATGCTAAAAATAGAAGATGGGTCTCTGTGGGTATAGTTTTCATATGGTTATTTCTGGAGTTCAACTTCAGATTTTCCTTGTTTACTTAGACAAAAGTAATGCTAATCATACAGGCCTTAAAGTAATTGTTTTCCAGTCTTGAGAATTTCCATATGCTAGATTAGGGCATGGGCTTTGTTGTTCCTTTGGTCAGTGGTCTCAGGCTCTTCTTTAATAAGAAGGTTCCATATTAAAGAAACATAGCAAGATACCATGACTAAGACAAGTAAGTCAGATAAAATTAACATGGCATCCAGAATGCTTGAGTTCCCATTTCTTTCAATTATCATGGAAACTGCCACTTACACTGAATGATGAGACAGCTAAAACAATAAAAATATTTATCTATTTTTGGCTTTAAGAACAAGCAAATGGGATCAGCGACAATGGCTTCTTTTAGGAACTTTAATTTCCATGTCCTGGAACTGCTTATTTGCTACATGATCTAAGGCAGAAAGTTATACCTCATGGCCATGGGAAGGTTTCTTAGTAAGGTGTGTAGAAGCCGGTCTGTGAGATAAGGAAGGTGGGATATTGTTTTGCACATCCATAATGAATGTGCCACACCACGGGTGTGTGAGAACCGATTGGAATCTTACCTACTCACATCTACTACCTAGGTCAGAAGAGGAAAACACTGTGAACAAGAGTGGTTATCTTTTCAGAAGCCAAAAGCATCTTATTATAGGTTTTTATCTCCCTCTTCAAAAACTAAACTACCCTTTTCTTTTTCCAAAATAGGTATTGTATAATAAGACCTTGTTTTCCTTGTTAATATCCCACATTTAGTTTTTTTGTGTCTAATCAAAAAATACTTATGGAATTTTGAGCATTTAATTTACCAGAGCAATAAATTATTGATTAAAAACAAAACAAAACAAAACAGAAATAGATCATTAGATAACCTGCTTTATCAGGTTATCCAAGCCTTTTCAGTAACTTGAAAATGAATTCCCTTTTATAAAATGCTATCTCTGTTCATGGTCTCTTACTAGCCACCTTTTCCCTGAAAAAGGTACAAACAGTATTTTAATTGTCTGGCACAAAAAGTGATTATTGGTTAGCCCGTGCTTCAGGAAATAATAATAGCAATTCCTTGATTTGATATGACACTTGTTTTTGCAGATTATTAATTTGGCTTAATTTTTGCAGGACTTAACCTTTTAATGCTCTTTCCATTATAGGCTGACCTTTCTCAGAAGAGAGTATTTTAGCTCTTTCTTTTGTTGTTTTTGATCAACAAAAGATTGCTATACAAATATTTTCGGAAAGTTGAGATAGAGTAAGTCAAGCAGGAGATTGCAGAGAGCTTTCTGCCACTTCATTTCCCTATGTTCTTGGATCATTTGCTCCTTTCTGACACTGGCCTATCCCCCTATTCCAAAACTGTCACAGGTTGTGCTTCAGCTGAAGTTTTTGAATGGCATGATTTTTTTTTTTTTTTTTTTTAGGAAATTAGGAACAACAACAACAAATCACGAATTCATCTTTTTTATTTTTTTTTAATTTTTTTTTTATTTTGTGTGTGTGTGTGTGTGTGTGTGGTATTTTTAAATGGACAGAAATCTATTTCAAACTGAGCATAGCCTAGTCCAAAGCTCCCTCAGTGAAAACATCTGTGAATTTAAGGACAAGTAGGTCTAAGTGCATTATCTTTAAAAAATATTATTCCAAGCTAATCTTGACATAGAGCAGGTAAATAAAAAAGATGAGCTGTGAAAATCCACAAATAGGGCTTGAATGCCATTTTCCATGACAACGGGCGCTGCCCCACGAAAGCATTAATGCTGGGAATGTAAGGAATTTAAAATTGTGCCTTCTCAGTTTTACAGTTGTGTGCTCATGTTAATTAGAGATATACTGACATTTGAAGTGTCTGCATTGATACACACAGCTACTATACATTTGTGAACCGTGGCTAGAAATCTACTTTAATTGAAAGCAGTTTGCTAATCTGAATGTGTATATCCATTATATTTTAAGCTTTTTAAAGTTTTATATTCTAGTGCCTTTAGACAATTGTTCTTTCTGCTTGCTTCATTTTCTGCTTCTAATTTATACCTGAACGTGTAGCATGGCCTATTTTAATCTCTTCATTGTGTTTTGGAGCAATATGGATGGAATGTTGAGAAAAAATTTTTTTAACAGCATCCTTTATTTACTGTAGTTTGAATATTTCTTGCCTCTCTGACTTTCTAAATTGTTGGTTTTCCTTGCAATCCTTTAAGATGGCCTGCCACGGAAATAAGGTAGGATTTAGGTTTATTGAATTTGCTTCACTGGCTATATTTAAGCACTAAAAAGCTGCTCTTCACTATGGTTTTAGCTGGAAAAGCCCGTGTTAGAGACCTTGATGGAATGAACAGTGAAGAGGCTTTCTGTTTTTTCTAGTATAACTGAGATTCATCCCTTTTCTCTTGATGACAAGCTATATATCTTAGTTTTTGATTTGCAGATATATCCACAATATTTTGATGATTTCTTGAGGTCATCTTTAACCCTGAATGTTTTGCTTTGTCTGTCTTATACTTAAAGAAAGATTTGACCTCTCTCTCTCTCTCTCTCTCTCTCTCTCTCTCTCTCTCTCTCTCTCTCTCTCTCTCTCTCTCTCTCTTTTTTGAACGTATGTATTTCTTAAGACTTTGCCTGTCAGGACTCAACCTAATCGTTTTCTGCTTGTTGTCTAATGAAACTCCCATACTTACTTTTTGGACCAATCCCTGAATATTATGCAAGACCAATTACAATGAAGCTTCCTTTTTTGTTGCCCCAGAACACACTGCTCTAAAAAGTTGGTAATACTCTGTACTTGTTTCATTAAGCCATTTTATTGGCACCATTAAACCACTGAAACCTAGGACCATTAAAACTTAGTTCTATTATTATTATCAAGGCTTATTTTTACCCTTTATTACTTTTTTTTTCACTGTGCTAAGTTCTTCTGTTTTTATTCTTTCATGTTGCTTACTACATATTGCGCCACCACAGCAAATTTTTGTAATTTTAAGTTAATTGCTCAATTATCAGTGATAGTCATGAAGTACTTGAAACATGCGCAGTTGGAAGACTTAAAAATTTCAAAATAAGTTGATGTGTCATAATCTCAAATGTGAAACGTGCCAATATCTGCAGGCATAAAAATACACCTCCCGAGCTAGGCATTTCTGGGAAGGCAAAAACCGACTCTTAAAATCAGGGCTTTTGTCTGGCACTGAAGTGTGTCATCTTCGCTAATTTCAAACAAC